TGGGTGCATCCACCAGTGCAGAAAAGAAAGAGGCAGACAAGTACTTCAAGGGCTTCAGAAGAGAAGTCCACATCTGCTACCCCGACGCAGATTCTGGGTTGTGCCCCCAAGACGACACGGATGCGATGCACATTCGCAAGTTCGAGTGGTTTCCAGCAGGAGACTTCGACGCCACTTGGCTTTCATGCAGCAGCCCGCAAGGTGGTAGCCAGTGGCAAGAAGCTGGAGGCCGACGCGCAAAGGCCCCGCGCTTCAGCTGCTGGGAAGGAAGCTAGTCGAGGAGAGGTCACGCCTTCCTTTGTGGAGAAGAGATTGGGTGCACTCCGAGGCAGGGGCTCAGAGTTACCTTTGCCGACGACAAGGAGGCGGGAAGGATCCCGGCTGGAGCCTGGGGGTGGAGCTGGTGGTACGCACCCTCGCTCTCCCTCACGTGCGGTGGTGAAGGCCGTGGAGATCAAGAAGGAGGTCGAGATGATCAGAGACGATTCATCGTCCCACCAGACGGGGCGGAAGAAGCCACGAGACATGGGCAAGACACTTGCCAGCGGCCCGTCTTCGATCAGCTGCGGACGAGGCGAAGGAGGAAAAGAAGAAGAGAGGAGGAGCAGGTCACGCTCACATGGCCGTCGGCGGAGGAAGAGGCGGCACAGCTCATCCAGCTCGCAGAGCAAGGCCTCCTCCCGCCACCAGTCCAGCAGCAGCGACGACAACCTCATGGCGCTGCTCAAAAAGCGATCGATGAGGGCCCCAGGATCTGCCTGCAATGCGGTCGAAAGGCTCTCTGCAGACGGCATAGTCGAGGAAGGGTACGAGGCTTCAGGGCTTCGGCACCAGAGGCCCAAGCTGCTGACCTACTATCAGCTCATCCTCAAACCTCATCTCGACCCAAGAGGTCGCGACGCCCGAGAGCTGGCCGTGTTGGCTCGGGCTCTCGACCTGCTGCGGGAGGGGAGGTTAGCCGAGCTGAGCGATGTGCTCGCAGCTCGGCTTCTCGCCATAGCCATAGACACCTCCACGCGGCAGGGTTGGGCGACTGCGAGGCACCTCGAAGTTATGCCAGATAGAATGCCAGATAGAATGTGAAAAGACGTGCCAAACACATATGCCAGATAGAATGCCAAAAGATATGCCAGGCTGCCAGATAGAACGCGCGGGTCCGACAATGTCAGTTTACGCCAGAATATATGTGAAAAGGATTGTTGGAATGCTAGAATAAATACCAGAAAAAAATGCCAGACACAGATGCCAGATAGAGTGCGAGAACATATACACGATAAAATGCTGACCTGAAGACCCTCGGGCCCGCACACCGTGGGCTCGCGACGGGCCCGTATAAGCCCGCGAGCCCGTCCGGCCCACGTCTTGCTTTCAGCACAAAAACATGCAAGACAGGTAGAGAAAGCAGGAGGAAAAGGGTCCTGGCAGAGACCAACCGCTTGGGCCCAACAGGATTGGGGCCACGACAACTGCCCCAAAGGAAAAGGAAATGACCAGAAAGGAAAGGGAAAGAAAGGCAAAGGAAAAGGCAAAGGTGCGAAGAGCTGGAACTACTGGGGCGCCGATGGAAAGGAGAAGCCTGGAGAGAAGCCGAAGAAAGGAGAAGGGGAGAGCTAGAGGCTTCACCCGTGCTGGGTGAGACTTCGGTGAGCGGCGCACTTGGGAGTATGGTCACAGCAGACGACCCGTGCCCGTGTGCCCGTGTGCCCGTGGATCGGGGTTGTGCCCGTGTGCCCGTGGATCGGGGTTGTGCCCGTGTGCCCGTGTGCCCGTGTGCCCGTGGATCGGGTTGTGCCCGGGTGCCCATGTGCCCGGGCCAGCGACAGGTCCAGAAGTCCAGAAGTGACACGTTTGCAGGCAGTTGCAGTCTGTCTTTTGGTTCTCCAAACAGTGCGTCCACAGTGAGGGGTTCTTACGGTAGGTGTAAAGGCAGGTGCCTGATCTGGGTGCTCCTCACTCTGGTCTGCAGCTTGTTACCTGTAAATTTCCGTATGGTGCGGCTCTTGTGACATGTTGAAGTGCATTTCGGCTGCGCAGGCTCGCACAAAGTGTATGTCTGCGTTCTGGCCTCATCGGTCTTCCTCCTCAACATCCTCCTCCTCAACATCAACATCTTCCTACTCAACATCAACATTATCATTTTCTTCTCCCTTGACACCAACTTCAATCGACTCCGCAGTACACAGCGGATGTTCCAGCTAGGAATGTTTGATTGGTAATTAAAACTTCCCAACTGGCATGTCATGACGATGTCCTAGGACTGATATGTGCCCGTGTGCCCGTCTATCTATGTATTGATCTCTCTTTCTCCCTCTTTCTCTCTCTCTCTCTCTTTCTCTTTCCCTCTCTCTCTCTCTCTTTCTCTCTCTCTCTCTATCTGTATTTCCGTCTCCCTTGCTACTTATTGATTTATCCTTTTGCCTATGCATCTATATGTCTGTGTGTCTGTCTTTCTATCTATCTACCTATCTACCTATCTATCTGTTTGTCTGTCTGTCTGTCTGTCCGTCTGTCTGTGTGCCGCAGCGTGATGTCATGGCAGCATGAGCTCGTTGCCCGCCGTTGTAGACCTTGGTGTTTGTTTGACGTTCCTTCCTGTTGCATGACCATGTGGTTGCCTCGTTGTTTGCATGCAACCTTGTTCCGGTGTGCTGAGATGCCTTGATCTTATGTTAATTTCGACATGCGGCGTTTCGGTGCTGTCTGCAGTAGATGGCATGTCGCTGTCCTTGCCGTGTTGTTTGCGTGCAGCTTAATGTCGTTGTTTTGCCTTGATCCTAGGTTAATTTCCAAATGTGTCGTTTTGGCTCCGTCTACCGTAGATTCCTCCTCTCCCTTTCTACTAATCGATTTTTCCTTTTGCCTATGTATCTATATGTCTGTGTGTCAACGGGTTGCCGCAGCGTGGTGTCATAGCAGCATGAGCTCGTTGCCCGTCGTTGTAGACCTTGGTGTTTGTTTGACGTTCCTTCTTGTTGCATGACCATGTGGTTGCCTCGTTGTTTGCATGTAACTTTGTTCCGCTCGCTGTGCTTTGATGCCTTGATCTAGGCGCTGTCTGCAGTAGATGGCATGTCGCTGTCCTTGCCGTGTTGTTTGCGTGCAGCTTAATGTCGTTGTTTTGCCTTGATCCTAGGTTAATTTCCAAATGTGTCGTTTTGGCTCCGTCTACCGTAGATTCCTCCTCTCCCTTTCTACTAATCGATTTTTCCTTTTGCCTATGTATCTATCTATCTATCTAATCTAATCTAATCTATCCTATCCTGTCCTATCCTATCCTATCCTTTCCTATCCTATCCTATCTATCTAATCTAACCTAATCTAATCTTATCTTACCTTATCTATCTTATCTTTCTTCTCTTTCTTATCTATCTTATCTTTCTTATCTATCTTATCTTTCTTATCTATCTTATCTTTCTTATCTTTCTTATCTATCTCATCTTTCTTTTCTTTCTTATCTATCTAATCTATCTTATCTATATTATCTATCTTATCTTTCTTATCTATCTTATCTATCTTATCTATCGTATCTATCTTATCCATCTATCCATCTATCCATCTACCCATCGATCCATCAATCCATCTATCTATCAATCTATCTGTCTATCTACCTATCTACCTATCTACCTATCTACCTATCTACCTATCTACCTATCTATCTATCGATCTATCGATCTATCGATCTATCGATCTATCGATCTATCGATCTATCGATCTATCGATCTATCGATCTATCGATCTATCGATCTGTCTATCCATCCATCTATCTATCTACCTATCTATCTATCTATCTATCTATCTATTTCTCTTTCTATCTATCTATCTATCTAACTATCTAACTATCTTTCTATCTGATCTGATCTTACCTTATCTTATCTTATCTTATCTTTTCTTACCCATCTTATCTATCTTATCTTTCTTATCTATCTTGTCTATCTTATCTACCTTATCTACCTTATCTACCTTATCTATCTTATCTATCTTATCTATCTAATATTTCTAATCTATCGAATCTATCTAATCTATCTAATCTATCTAATCTATCTTATCTATCTTATCTTTCTTTTCTTTCTTATCTATCTAATCTATCTTATCTATATTATCTATCTTATCTTTCTTATCTATCTTATCTATCTTATCTATCGTATCTATCTTATCCATCTATCCATCTATCCATCTACCCATCGATCCATCAATCCATCTATCTATCAATCTATCTATCTACCTATCTACCTATCTACCTATCTACCTATCTACCTATCTATCTATCGATCTGTCTATCTATCCATCTATCTATCTATCTACCTATCTATCTATCTATCTATTTCTCTCTCTCTCTATCTATCTATCTATCTATCTTTCTGTCTATCTATCTATCTATCTATCTATCTTTCTGTCTATCTATCTACCTATCTATCTAACTATCTTTCTATCTGATCTGATCTTACCTTATCTTATCTTATCTTACCCATCTTATCTTTCTTATCTATCTTACCTTTCTTTTCTTTGTTATCGATCTTATCTTATCTTTCTTATCTTTCTTATCTATCTTATCTATCTTATCTATCTTATCGATCTTTTCTAGCTTCTCTATCTAATCTATCTATTCTATCTAATCCATCTAATCTTTCTAATCTATCTAATCTATCTATCTTGCCCGGGTGCCCGGGTGCCGGTCGATTGCCCGTGTGCCCGTGTGCCCGTGTGCCCGTGATTTGGCTGTGTGTCCGTGTGCCCAGGTGCCCGGGTGCCCGTGTACCCGTGTGCCCCTGATTTGGCTGTGTGTCCGTGTGCCCGGGTGCCCGTGTGCCCGTGGATTCCTGGTGTGCCCGTGTGCCCGGCGGCCCGTGAGGAGACCTATCTCCTGGCTTCAGACCCCGCCTTTCAAACCTTTGAGGGGCCTGGTCGTGAGAGTCCCGCTCTTAGGCTCTTAGGAGCTTGAACTTGGATTGCAAAGAGCCCGAACCAGCGGTGCCTACGTCAGGCGCTGGCCACAGTTTGGAACCTAAGACTAAGCTGGAAGTTTTCCGTGCTTTGTCAAGGTGCTCGAATCTTGTGGATTTTGGTATTTTGCTGGCATGGGGTTACAGAGCTGGTCTTGTCGTCTTTGCGGACCGTGCTGAACCCACACGAGCTCCTCGCCACAGGCGGCGTAGCTTGTTTCCCCTGCCAGTGCCTATGCCGGAATCGGCGAGTTGGGACGTCGCTGGCATCCGCCGTGCGAGCGCCTTGAAGTGGCAGTGCAGAGCTGGACAGCCTTAGGGTGCGTGGCCATAAATCGGCTAATTATACGGACACCCCAATGTGGGATCGTCTCAGCCGGCTGGAAAAGTGCATGAAGCGGTTGTGTGCAGTCTGAGAGACAGGATTTCAAGGTTTTTAGCAGGTGATCAAGTGGTCCCCTTTTCCTTTGAAGATGCTGTTAAAGACTTAAAGGAAAAGAGGTTGTCATATACGGGCGAGGAGATTCAACAACCACATGCTGTTTCTTGTGAACAAATCACCCAGGGGCTACCCCCACCTGGCCATGGGGGTTCCATTCCATTGCTTCCCTTTTTGAAAGGCAGGACAAGGTATTTAATGGAAAATCCGCTGGAATCCCTCCTTGCGGAAAAAGACAGATCTTCGGGGCCAGTCACTGCACGGGTACATATTGTCAAAGGTGAAGAGGTGAAGGTTTTCAATTTGCTACATGAAAGAGGGGCCATAAACTGGGCTAAGGCTGACGAATCTCGTGGAACTTATTTTTCAGGACTTTTTGGGGTCATTAAACCGGGCAAATACACTTCATCTGGAAAACCGGCGCTCAGGGTGATCATGAACCTTATCCCCTCCAATGCCCTGTTTGACATCATTCAATCTGATATCTCACTTTTGCCTAGTGCTACTCAATGGATGCCCCTTTGTGTATGTGAAGGAGAAGAGGTTTCATTATCACAGAGCGATATAAGCGCGGCCTTCTATCTTTTTAACATTCCAAGCTGTTGGCAACTTTTTATGTGTTTTAGTTTCAAAGCAAAGGGTTGCGATATAGATCTGGCTGGACTCGAATCAGGGGTTAGGCCTACATGTAGGGCTGTCCCTACGGGGTGGGCTCCTCTGTGGGCCTTATGCAGGCGGTCAGTAGGGAGTTTTTATTGTCAAGGGGGTTACCAGCTGAGTTGGAACTGAAGAAGAGTGGGTTGATTCCCCCCTGGTTCGCTAAGGTAGCAGAAGCGTCTACCCCAACGAATGTGGTGGTACGGTATACCTGGATAACTTCATGTCCGGTCACGTGGGAGGTGCAGGTGAACTTGGAGGGGGCAGAGAACTTCAAGCAGCAGCTATGCACGCCTGGGAGTCTGCAGGAGTGCTTACAACCAAGGATAAGCAGGTGGTTGGTGCCCGCAATGCTACAGAGTTGGGTGTGAGGATCGACGGAGTCAAGGGACTGCTGGGAGGCTCTCCCGAGCGTGTCCTGAAGACTATCTATGTGACTTTGCACCACCTTGGACGTAGCTTCTGGAGCAAGAAGGAAACTTTTGGAGATCCTGGGCATGGTCGAAGAGGTCGAGAATGTGGCCTCAATGGATGAGGAAGCAAGAATGGCCATATCTGACGAATTGGGAATCTGCCCCATGAAGTTGGACCCAGCTGACTTTCTTTTTTAATAGCAGGACTATAGGTTTGCTTGGTGCTCAGTCCCACGTATGAGATGGAAGGCATGGAGTCGTGGAAGGAGAAAGAGTACGTATGGGCCTATGCTTCAGGGGTAGCGTGGTGACAGATCAATGGATTCGTCCGGGGTGGCGCTGGGAGGCCCCTCAGGGGATGTGCTTCCCGACCTTCATGAAGAGCATGTCCACCCCCACAGCCTGCCGGGTTGAGCAGGACCTCGGCTGCAACTCAGCAAAGGCGGACTGGTGATGAGTTCAGATACCCACCATATAAATACAAGGATCAATTCCTCGTCACTCAATCCGTGCAGCCCGCAAGGGTGCTGGATTCCAGTGAGAGGGAGCTGCTTTTGGGATTTGGCCCTGGGCACACGGCCAGCTGTTTGGCCGCCAGTGAGGTAAAGAAGAGCACAGGGACTTTGAAGACATTCGATGCCCACTATGCGGCGATAGCTTCTCAGTAGCGTCTTTTGCCATTATTGCAAGTGCACTGCGCTCTGAGCTGGCTCCACGTATGAGCCCGGCGCAGATTGTGCAGCGCTTGGGGTTGGCACCTGGTGCCACCATACACCCGTCTGTGGCAGTGCCAATTGGAGGTGATCCTTTGGTGGATCACATGCAGTCGAGTTGGTCAAGCAGCTTGGCTTAAGCGTTAATGGTACTGGGTCGGATGTTAGGATTGCTACTGGTGAGATGATGGTGGCTAAATCGGTCTCCCATGCATCTGCAAGGGCATGGTGGTGGCAATGGAAACATTTATTTAAGGTGGTTGTTTTCATCTCACATCAACTTCCTTGAAATGAAGAGGGTCCTACATTCAATTCTATGGAAATCACGAAACCCTAGCAAGTACAACAAGCGGTGGTTACATCTGGAGGACAGTCTTGTATGTTTGTATATACTTTCAAAGGGGAGAACCTCCAGCCAACTTGCAGCCGTTGACTAACCAGATCGGCGCGGTGCAGCTGGCAACAGGCTTAACCCTGTTGCATGGCCATGTTAGCTCGGCTGAAAGCCCTACCGACAGAGCCAGCCTCGGGTAGTGCTGGCTGAGTGGCTGGTAAGACAGCAAGGGCACGTTGCCATCAGAGGGCTGGTATACGCCTGAGGGACTATACTGTCTCAGCGCGGACAAAAGCCCGATATGAGAAGGCAGTGAGCCGTATCCTACCTTTCTTGGAAGCTCAGGATTCACTCGCTGACTTGGATGGAGTCGTTTGCGACTGGATCGAGCTTCAATGGGCCCGAGGGGAGTCCATTGGCATCCATTGGCTGGATTGCAGATGCGTTGAGCGGATTGCATTTTTTCTGGCCTGCGCTTCGCGGAACCCTCAGGAATGCATGGAAGATGTTCAAATCTTGGTGCCGTATAGAGGCCCCACAGAGGGCTCCTCCAATGACCCTTGTGATAGCCCAGGCGGTGGTAGAGGTAGGAGATTTGGCATTTGCTACGGTTTTGCTCTCGGGTTCCATTGCTTGCTTCGCACAGGTGAGTTCCTAGCCCTTCAGTACAAAGATATTGAGGTAGCAGAAACCTGTGGTATCGTCACACTCCTCAGCAGCAAGAGTGGCCTCCGCACAGGATCAGAAGAAGCGGTCAGTATTAGGGATCCGCTGGTTCTAAACCTTGTGCGGACCCTGATCACAACAGAGCGCTTTGCACGGGGTCAAAGACTTTGGCCACATTCTTTGCAATTCTTTCGTACATGCTTTGAGAGATATATGAGATTTTTTAGGATTTCTTATTTGAAAATGAAGCCGTACAGTTTGAGAAGAGGAGGAGCAACGTTTTTACTGGCAAGATTGTACCTTGAGGACGGAATGGCACAGATTCCACAGTTGAGGGTTCCCTCGCTGGATATGTGTCGCCTCCGTCAATATGCCTCGCAATGTCCCCACGCCCTTTTGGCCATGATAGGGTCCGTGAAGAGGGGATAAAATTTCTCGTTTGTTTGATTTGAAAGTTGAGCCGTCCCTGACAAAGCTCATGCCACTTGGGTGATTGCAGGGCGGTGCCATTTGGGTGTTGACTTTATCATGATAAATACAAATGGCCATGCCACTTGGCCTGGAGATGTTTTATTTGAAGGAATTCAGATAACATACTGAGTGGCAAAGCCAGAAGGTTACAGAAAACCTACGGGTCAGCACGACAAAAAGTGCACTTGAGTCCTAAGAAGTCGCGTCGACAACTAGGACGAAATGACTGCATGTCTTGTTGTTTGGGCTTGTAGGCTCAAGCCAGCCCGAACCACACCCGCCCGATAGGGGACCAATTTCTTGTTCGATTTGAAAGTTGAGCCGTCTCTGACAAAGCTCATGCCACTTGGGTGGCTGCAGGGCGGTCTCTGATAGAGCTCACTCATGCCATTTGGGTGTTGACTTTATCATGATAAATACAAATGGCCATGCCCCTTGGCCTGGAGATGTTTTATTTGAAGGAATTCAGATAGCATACTGGCAAAGCCAGCAGGTTACAGAAAACCTACGGGTCAGCACGACAGAAAGTTTACTTGAATCCTAATCATTGGAAAAACACAGTGTTTCGCGACTTTCCTACCTTTTCTCGCACCTGCATCTTCTTTCTTCTTACTCTTTCTCTTCTACTCTTCTTTCTTCTAATCTTTCTCTTCTCTCTTCCTCTTCCCTGCTCTGCTTTTCATCTGTCCATATTGTCGGAAGTTTGACGTCTAAACTTCCTTCGATGATTTGATATATATATATATAAAAAACACTAAAACAAAATCGTAGAACAAATCATCGGAGCAGCCACCGTGCCATGAAGGGATACAGCATGATAGAGTTAGTTTCAGACCTTCGGGGAACGACACACACACAAACAGCTGCTGATGCAACTGGGCATCTGCAAAATAGCAAAGGACACATGCCCTTAGAATATGTCTCGCCCTCCAACGCCATATCTCAATGCATCCATATGCTATGGCGGGCAACGGTGTTGCCGCACTTCAAACACAAAAAGAGGAATAAAACAACAGTTGTCCATAGATGCAAATAGCTGCTAGCTAGGGGAATGACACCAAAACAGTCTCCGATGCAACTGCACATGTGGCACATAGCAAGGGAAAAATGCGAACGAAAATAGGGGTGGTCAAGCCAGCCTCAGCATTGCAACAATTCCATTACGCACCTGGGCTCGTATCAACTTCGTGTCAGACTCACAATCTAAGATCAATTTTTGTATTCTGTTTGCTGGTCTGATGCTGCCTTTTGCATTCTATCTCCATCCGTTTTACTTTCATACAATCTGCTCATATTCAAGCTTACTTGAAAAACAACGTATTTTGAGTGTGGGTTGGTTACAGTATGCGCCCTCAGGAGGCATTGATGAGTTGCACTATTTTGATATCCAGGCCACGCTTTTTGAGACTAGCTCAGTTCTCTGTGCCAGCGAGTCTTGTGATTTTCTTTGTCACTTCTTGATTTGTTCATTCCCTGAGGGTTGTTAGATTTTATCAGAGCTGTTCTCCTCATCCTTCTTCTCTTCCTCCTCCGCCTCCTCCTCCAGTTTCTCCTCGACCATGTCTGCATCAACTTCCACCTCAACTTCCGCCTTGCCGACTCTTCGCCAAGCTCTTCGCCAACTTCCCAGCTCAGTGCGCACTGCTGGACCTCAACCTGAGACAATCCCAGCTCAGTGCGCACCGCTGGACCTCAACCTGGGACCTTCCCAGCTCAGTGCGCACCGCTGGACCTCAACCTGGGACCCTCCCAGCTCAGTGCGCACCGCTGGACCTCAACCTGGGACCTTCCCAGCTCAGTGCGCACCGCTGGACCTCAACGGCCAAATAGAATGACAGAAGATATGCCAGATAGAATGCCAGAAGATATGCCAGATAGAATGCCAGAAGGTATGCCAGATAGTGCCAGAAGGTATGCCAGATGGAATGTTAGAAGATATGCCAGACAGAATGCCAGAAGGGACATAATGCCCGAAGGTATGCCAGATAGAATGCCAGATAAAAAATGTCAAATAGAATGCCAGAAGATATGCCAGATAACATGCCAGAATGGTGCCAGAAGATTTGCCAGATAATATGCCAGATAGAATGCCAGATGGAATGCCAGAAGATATGCCAGAACATATGCCAGAAGATATGCCAGGTAGAATGCCAGAAGATATGCCAGATAGAATGCTAGAAGATATGCCAGATAGAATGCCAGATCGAATGCCAGAAGATATGTCAGATAGAATGCCAGAAGATTTGCCAGTAACAAATTGATATATAAAAATGTCATGGTGGGGATCACACGAAGTAAAGTAATTTTTTCCTCAGTTTTTGTGCCCTGTACAGTGTAGGCATGTCAATTCTGATTCAAGACGTTTTTTCTGAAAGTCTGAAACTATCTGAAAATGCTTGACCCGAGTGAGACTTTATTACTGCGATTCGTTGCTTTCACATCAAGTTTCGTGAGTTGAGTGAGTTTTTTTGTGACACATGCTGTTTTATTTCCTTGTTGGGTTTTGGTAGGGCAAGCTTGTCAGGCCAAGACATGGCAACAAGTGAACGCCAGCAACCCCTTCGAGCGGTACAACCACGGTGCTGTCATGGACGTGCAGCAGCGGATGTGGATATTTGGTGGTTTTGCTGATGACTATGGTCACGGCCCTACAGTCAAACCAGCTTGTGTGTTGTGAAGACTCTTGTGGGTGCGACCTGTGGGACAAAGAACCAGTAAGAGAAGCGTTACCTTCGTGATTGCTGCGACGTGATCATGAGGTACTCGAAGCTGGAATGATTTGCGTTACTTTGACACCCAGGCGATGCTTTTTGGGGAGAGTTGCTTTTCAAAGATAGTGGTCTGCTGGGTTAGTTTTAAATGCCACAACTTCTTGCTTGTTGTCGTTGGTTTGAGTCCAAATCGGATGCTAATCCTGGGTTTGATGCGTGCAAATGGGGAGCAGAGTTGATGCTCTTTGCGGTGTTGTCTAGAACAATGCGGGAAAAACCACTCGACACGACGCCCGGATTGAATTCACATGTGCATGTTGCTTCCGAGTTTAAAATGCGGAGAAATTACTGGTTCAACCCCATGTGCTAAGCACATAAGTGCATATCGTAAGTATTTGATATTTTGATATATTTTGAGATTTTGCATGACAGTCCTCTGACTCTCCGTCAAGATACGTTTGGAGGTAGAATCTGTGGGATCAGAATAGGACGGGACATGTGGGCAATGGCGTCATTTTTGTCTGGGCGAAGGCCGTTTCACAGAATTCCTTGGCGAAGGTTGCAACTCGTTACATTTGCCGATGTATGGTTCGTTGAGAAGTGCCATAGTTGCACTTGACCTGATTTGAACAATGCTCAGTTGGATCAAAACTTCTTGATTTCTCCACGTCGTGACAGCCAAGCTCCCCTACATTCTACATATAGATTTGGTTGTCTCTGTGAGACCATTTCCAGCATCCCAGTCGTACCCGCTGTCGGCTCACCCACCGGTGATTTCCCGTACCGCCTACCTGATTCTTCTGTGCTGATCATCAGTGGTTGTGTCTGCAACTGGTTATATACCCTCCCGCTGGCAATTTCCCCATTTAGTTGCATGATTTTCCCATGTATAGATGCCCATTTAGTTCGGAAATTTCCAAGCCATGCTTGATGACACTGGAGGGTACTAGCCAATATTCCATCACCATGAGTATTCCATTTTGGGACATGCCATATTCCTGGAAACATCCCATGACAAACTGCAGGGTATCCTCATTCCCACTTTGTCCAACAATTTTTGATGAAGTCACGAAACCCTGGGCCCTGGCCAGGGGGGTGCAGTTGGCACGACCACTCCGTCGGCAAACGGCTCAATTGCAGAGATCATTCATGATGAGATGGCGACCATGAATTGGGCCCCTGGGAAGATTACCAGCTTTTGGAGAGTCCAAATCATCAAACTATTTTTTGTATGTATGTGAGGTCAAAAACCCATTCGCTTTCTTGTTGGTATTGGGTTTCTACTAGCCTATTGAAAAGGGATATCATCTCTCTCTCTCTCTCTCCCTAGGAGCTCAACAGAAGCTGAGGCGAGCAAAAGTCTTATCGTATACATCGTACCAATTATGATATAGCTATAAACAAACCAGTAGTAGAACCAGTTTGCAACCAGGATATACATAAGCTACATATTACATATGCAAATAATAAAGAAGCAAATGACTAACTAAATAAGAAAACTTACCATCATACATTTACAGCCCACCAATGTTTTTCGTTTGACCAAATCCGTGCTTTCAAGTAGATATCACGGCGAGATATAGTTGGGGTGATGGGAATGAAGACTCCCTGAACTTCTGCCCTCTCGCTTTGTCCACCGCACTTGTGTGTGTGTGTGTATACATCTATTCAACATTTGCATATGGTTGATATAGTATATATAGATAATGTTTGAAATCTAAATTGCCTACATGCCACATATGTTCACATGTATACACCCGTACACACATACCAAAGTTACTGGTCGTGTACATGAATAGACTCCACGACCAGTTGCATGGGCAGTTGAGGATGCTTTGGAATCCGACCTTTCAATGATATCCCCATTGTTGTCACTATTATGTCCTTGAAAAACCCCAGTATATCAGAATGTATCCCCAGGATGCTTTGGAATTCTCCCCGATCTACCGATGCTTCGTGAAACAGACGCTCTTTGATCACTTCACTGCCTCCTGCGCCGACAAATGCGACTCTCCCGCCGTGGTGGCTCGTGGCCAATGTGACTTGGCAAAACTCATGCCCCGATAGAACAGGTTAAAACCGTTTCGGCAAAATCCATTGTTGTTTGGAGGGGGGGAATTGAATTTGCTCCTGTATTTATTTACTTATTGAATCTTAGTGATTTATAATTCGATTCTCTTCTTACATTTTTTCTGAAGGGCGATGAAACATTACATTGCATTGCATTACATTACATTACATTAATTACACACACACATTATATTACACAGACATTTTATATATACATGCATAATATGCATACATATGATGACTAATATGTTTTTTTATCCTCATTTTTTCTACCAGAACAGTTTCTGGTTCACATTTTCTCAGGCCATTGAAATTGTTCAGGTGTGCGCCCCGAGCGTGGCGTCACCTTCACCGTGGAAACCGTGGCCAGTTGGAGCTTGTCGGTGCAGTGCAACGAGGTGGAGCCGTCGGAGCGGTCGGAGCGGTGGGAGCGGGGGGAGCGGGATGAGGACGGTGAACGGTGGAGACTTCATCAACAGATGGAGTTATAAAACTTGGCAAATTATAACGACCTCATTGCGACCGAGCCCTGGAATGATGGTTAGTAAGGAAAATTATCCCAATATAGCCTTATTTCAGGTTTGTGAAATATTGTAATTTGCCCAGATACAACCAACCATAAACCAGTCATATTCAATAGCATCCCAACATGCAGTAGCTGGTGATGCATCCCAATTTTCATTTGGCATAAATGGGAGTATCATGGGATATAATTAATGAACATTGAATACTGAAAATGAGTGCTATCAAGTGGTGAATGAAGGGAGCGGCTCGGAGCTATGGTTGTATCCATATTCATCACGAACAATGGGGAGCTAAGCGGCCGCTAAGAGTTTCCCAGCCACATGATAGTTTAACCAGGACATATTGATATATCAACATCAATCAACATATATATCCATTCTGGATTGATTCGACGGGGGTAGAACAATAATATGAAATGGGCCGTGGGCTTCGAATTTTTCAATTTACCACCTAATTTACGGCTATGAAGTATTGGGGATGTTAAGCAACAACAATAGGGATGATATTGAAAATCATTCTTTGGAAACCTATCATATCCCAGGTACACTCCGGTGAAAATCTACCATTTTATAGATGATTTTCCCACTGTACCTCCAACCTGTCACGGGGGATACATGAGGATGGGTCAATACCTGTCCCAGCGATTATTTGATCCACGTGATTGATAGTGGTGATTCGTTGTTCGCTATGGAAGCCATGGCTCAAAAGTGATCAGATCATGGGTCCCAGCCCCTTACAATTGGTTTACCCTCTGGTAATCTGGTTGACATCCGTGGAAAATAACGTAACTTTTAGTAGGTATAAGCTACATATTTTAGTAGGTATAAGCTACATCTGGTAATCTAAAACATCCATATCAGAGCATATTGTATGAGGGGTGTACTCTACACCACTTACGAACCATTTTCCAATTTCCAGGATCATGCCAGGCTTGCTGGAACGAATGGCAGAACAAGACTCTTCACTACACGAGGCCATCCATCGCATCGATTTTCCAGTGCTTGTGACACAGGTGATACCCTCTGGTTATGTCAAGCATAGCTATTGAAAATGGTGATTTAGTTCGTGGATTTACCCATAAAGAATCGTGATTTTCCATAGACCAGAGGGTACTGCTCAAACTCTCAAGTGTTGATCAGGACTCACCTGCTTTTCACAAAAATACGCAGAATATGCAGAATCAGCACAAGGACACAGGCTGAAGTATCCCAAGTGCTGAAACTGACTCTGGCGACAGGCTGGCAGTCGCCAATGTGTTTGACATCCCCTTCCAGGTGCAAAGATCCACCGTGTTGCAGTTGGCTTCAATTGAATTTGATAAATTGGCTGCAACGACACTTTTTTCCTCCATCTTTAACAACTTGATGTCCAAATCTTTCGCGACGGCTGTTCATTTAGGATTTAATATACTAAATTACTAAATACTAATAAATGGGCTAATGCCCTGGTGCCGCCGACCCCCTCATAAAGGGGGGGCTAGGCACCGCTCGGCGGAGATACACACACACACATTCAGCTTGTAAAACTTTCCTTTTTATGGTCGTGGCAGAAAAACCATGTTTTTTCTGGAATAAACTAGCTTCAAACCAACAATTCAAATTGAACTCAATTCAAACTTTGTTTTGCTTTCCTTCCTGCACTGCTGGCTGCCAGCTAGCTTGCTTGTTCTTGCAGCTGGCCTTGTTCTTGCCGTCCTGCCTAGAACTAGCTTTAAACCTTCAAAAGCTAGCTTCAAACCTTCAATTTGCTTGCCTTCCTGCACTGCTGGCTGCCAGCTTGCTTGCTTTCATCTGGCACAGCTCGGGTCTCTTGTCCCCTCTTCTCTGACTCGCTCCCCCTGCTGTCGGCAGGGGTCGGCGGATATATGTCAAGCCTTGTGGGCCTTTGTGCCGTGTGTCTCTCTGACGCGCCTTGAGAAAAAAACCAACAGCCGTACCAGACCATAAACCCATTCCTTGTGTGTTGCGATCCTTCGACTTACAAGCATGGCTTGAAACACAAGAGCGAGGTTTAATTCTACATGGATTTGTTTTTCATTTGCGAAATCTTTCATGCAAGGGGTCTTTTGCTGGGATAATTATGTGAAACCGAGCTCTCGCCACAGTCGCGCGTGCATTTTGCCGACCCCATCTTCCAAAAGTGCTTCCGCGCTGTCAATTTTTGCGATTTTTGTGTGAATCGAGCTCTCGCTATACAGTCCTGTGCATTTATTGTCGACCACTTTTGCAGATCGAGGCCCACCTCGGCGACCACGGAAAACAATTTTACCTGAAAAAACATAGGGTTTCGCGCCCGAGAGTGCTCTCAAACCTGAATTCACGCGTTCCCGGCCTGTTACACTTCCCCTACTTGATGATGATGATGATGTCGTTGACATGATAATGTGGTTCACATGACGGTGAGAATGCTGCCCATGACAATCGTCCGTAACTCGGAAGTCAACTAATTTTCCTTTGGTTGACCCTCATTTTTGTTGTTTCGCTGCAGAGGAAGTGGAGCGAGTCGGCGTGGCGTTCCACAGTGCGCGGCGCCTGCAGAGCGGCCTTTCGACGCGCTCCGCCACGGTGCAGGTGAGGTACAATAGATTCAATAAAGAGAGATGCTATGTACATACAACCGAACCAGCAAATAGTATAATTACTTCATGGTTAAACATGTAACACACACATATATATATATATATATATATTATATTATATATAAAACTTATATATTATATATATACACACTAATTATGCGATGTGTTAATTAATCATTTCATTTAGTTAATGATAAATTTTATATACCAAACTATGCCATTTGTTCCTTATTTGGTATATGGATTTCATTATATTTGCTGTGGGAATAATATGATATAACGGAGGTACAACCCCACGATATAGATACACTAATCAATCGACAATTACTGACATATGAAAATCAGTTACTAAAGTAGACTAACACTTAGTTACAAATGGAAATACTCAAATCATCTCATATCAATAGTTACTATATCTATTAGAGAGTAACTTCATCTCCAAACATCATGCACTAATAGTCAAAACATTGAGATATCATTTGGTATTTACCATCTATGTACTAATATACTGTCCTATACTGATAATGATCAAATGGTAATACTCGTCAAACAGTTAGTATATTACTAGCACAATAGAGAACAACAATAATAATAACCATAGTATACATAGTAACACTATTAACACCAATAGCAATAATGATAAGGTTTGGCACTGAGCAAAGCAATCAACAGCAACCATGATCAATAAGAATGATAAAACCACTGAACAACAACACACAACAACAAGTACAAACAATGAACAACTGATAAGAACTGCTCATTGCTAGCGATAATGATCACCATGAGAAAGTCACAATCTTTTTGAATTCTATATCTCCATCGTCTGTCCAAATCACCAGGCCTACATCAACACCAAGCGTTTAGAGGTTGCAGAGATCAACGCCTTTATGCCCTATGTCTTCGAAAATGCCGCGGCAGCCACAGCTCTTTGGCTGATGGGTGTAGTGGCAGGGAGGCTGTTGCCACTGGGTACTGTGTTTTAATAAAAGGGAAGATCCTGAGATCTCTCTGGAATTCCCATCAAAACAATTCTTGTCCCAGATGTTTTCGAGTGTTTCATGCTATACAAACCACGTCCCCACACCAAGGACATCATGAAGTTCCCGGTGTCGGCAGCAAGAAACTCAGAAGGATCAGACCCAGTGGTGGCCAATTCCTTCCAGGGCTGGATCATTGAAGGAAAAATTCCATCACTTCATCACTTCATCGCAGAACTTGGGATTTTTACCGCCCTAAAATTTAAAACGTGGGGACCTCAAAGAATGACTAGTGACGGTTGCTGCCGTGTTACAAGCAGCGCTTATGCATCACCAAGGTGATGGTGGGTTGGATAATCTGGTGATTTTGCGATGTGGGAGTTTGAAGAACCTTCAAACACATTTCATGATTTCATGATAGGCTTTAACCAGATCAATTTTCCGGAACATGCAGATAGGTCGGGGGGTCGCATGTACACGCGAAACCATGGTCGCATGTACACGCGGACGACTTGTGGGAGATAGTCGCATGTACACGCGGGCAAGTTCACAACTACACGCGAATAGCAGATGTGCATTTTTTGCTTGTGAAATACAATGAAAATCGAAACTTGTGGTATATGTGCTGTTGCTATCTGTAAAAGCACCTCACATAAAACACACATGTATCATAGTAATGTACGACAGCTATGCGGCTCAGGCTAAAAAGGGTTGAGTTGCTGCGCTTAACGGTTTTGCCCATTGTTGTTTAGGTTTATCAGTCTACTTGGGATTATAAGATAACCCCAGCTGAAACCTGAAAATACAGGTTATCAGCCGTAGTCTCTAAAGCCATGGACAAAACACACGATGCTACAGGTGGTGGTGCTCTTGTGCCTTCAACAGGAACAGTGGCGACTGCATCAACTGGATCTCAGCCCGGGACGGCTGGGGCAACTCCCACGCCCATGTCGGTAGATGAAGGATTCTTCACACAGCCCGTCCAGGCATATTTTCAGTTCGTGCAGAACAATCTTACCTACATCAACGAAGGTAACATTGACGCTTTCAGGCAAGAGGCAGAAGAGAGACACACACATCTCATGGAACAAAAGGTCCAGCAACTGTACCAAGAGTTTGAGGGAATTTGCCTTAGTGAAATTGCCCATCAACGTGCAGAAGCTGATCGTAGACCTGAACACCTAGTATCGGAGTATTCTATGTCCCAAACGGCAACTGAGCATGAGGTCACAAAACTGAGACAGGAAGTTAGCGATGCAAACGCAAAGCTGAAGAACGTTGCAAATGCAGTTGCACTGGAAGCTAAGCAAAGAGCAAACCAAAAGGTAGCCCATGTTACAGCCCAGTACGAACAAAGATTTTCTGAACTCAGAGGTAGCCTCGAGGCAGACTGTAAACGAATCGTGGACGAAACAGTAGAGTATGCAAAGAATGGCATGGAAGGTTTCAAGAAGGAGGAACAAGCTGTAATCCAGGAGATTAGAAAGAATGCAGTAGGCAGGAAAACCAAGCTGCTGAACTCAACTATCAACTGCAGGGACAAGTGGAGGATTTGATGGAGAAGCTCAACAAGTACAGCGCCCCTGAAATCAAGATCGACAGAGCCGTCGAAGTCGATGATGCACAAGGCGGGAACAACGTCGATCTGTACATGACCCCAAAATCAGCGGTCGGTACCAAGGCTGGAGCAGAACCCATGCCAAACGCTGGTATGAGCAATCTAGCCATGGACGCTAAAGAAAGATTGAGCAACCTATTCTCAACAACCCCTGCCGGATCAGCAGCACCTCCAAAACTACCACCATTGCCAGTTCAAAGACAAAATGATGATGATGCAAATCAAGAACAGAGTGTGCCCAGTCCTACAGTAATAGCAAGCGACGCAGGCAAGAAAGCTGCTGAGGCAGGCTTAGGTCTTTCAGGTCAACAATTGCTAGATCTCATCACTAGACTGACTTCAAAGGATTCAGATGGTGAAAAGCCCCGAACAAAAGAGGCAGAGACTATCAAACTGAACGACATGCCTGCCCCAGAAGCATATCGTCACTGGCGTAATCATGTCAGGGACGAAGTCAAGTCGTGCTCCGACAAACCCGATGAGGCTTGGCTTTGGCTCAATGAAGTCTTTGACAACAAAACTCCTAGGGAAAAGTTGGAGGAAAAGTTGCAGGAACCTGGGAAATTCATCACACTCGATACCAAGTTGTCGGCAGCGTTAACTCGCTCAGCCAAAGGCGATCTAGCAACAAAGATCCACAACTTCAAAGATGAAAAGTCAAAGAATGGGATCCAAGTCAGAGGTAGGAGAGTCCTTTTGATGTTTGAAGATTACTTCAGGACGTCTGAGGAAGCTGGCAGTCTCTATCGCGTGGAGGACCTACTTGGAGTCGTTCGCACTGGAGAATCTGTGGAGGACCTTAGAAGGTTTCTGAACCGATGGGACGCCACAATTGCCGGCATGGAAACCCCACCAGATGACTTGGTTCTCAGAGACATCTTACTCAGACAAATCCGAAAATGCCAATTGATGAAGTATGACATTGAAGCATTCGACAGAGCTCCTGAAAAGTCGGAACAGAAGTCTTATGCATTTTTGTTGAGAAATATTCGTGACCTTTTGGATAGAGAAAGACTCCGTTCAAACAGAAACAGAATCGTTGAAAAGAACAAACAGACCGAAAAGCCTCAGCCCGCTGCACCCGCTCAGGGGGGCAAAGATCGCGGCAAAGGAAAGGGCGATCGAGGTCGATCCCGTGGCCGAAGCCAGAGTGGAAAAGGGGATAAGATATGTTACAAGTTCAGGGATGGCAAGTGCGAAAAGGGTAAAGACTGTCCCTACAAGCATGTCAAGGATTCCTCAAGATCTGGCACCCCCAAAAAGAAGGGTAAGGGCAAAGGCGGTAGCAGAAGTGGTTCCCCTAACAGAAAGTCAAGGGAAGAGATGGCCAAGATCCCATGCACTTACTTCCAACAGGGCAAATGTCGTCGTGGTGACAAATGTTTCTACAAACACGAAGTTGCAGCTGCACCCACAAAGGATCCAAAACGCACCAATAGCCCTGCACCAAAGAAGAAGGCCAGTGCAAAAGCTGCGCCATGCATTACTCAAAGGTATGCATGCATAGCAAAGGGAAAAGGGTTGCCAAAGGCTACAAAGGCCATGAAAGAACAATGCCATAGAGCTGTTGTGTTTTCATCAAAGGTGGAATACATCAAAGTACCAGCAACAGGTGAACAGAGAAAGGTAGTGCACAAACCCCGAATCTATGAGAAGACGTTCCCTGATTCAGAGTCAGTGCCAAAGCCAGAAAAGCTCACTGCTCACCGTGCTCAGGTTTCGGCCAGGCAGTTGCAGGAACTTGTGAAGCTCTTCGGCAACAACGTGCAGCCCAAGTGCCGTTTTCGATGCAATGACCCCGAAGGTGGAGTCTCATGTAACCACTGCAGAGCTTTGATCGGTCCAAAGAACAAACTCAGTAACACTCATTTGCCAACTGTTGCCACTCCTGCTTCAAAAGATGGATGTGTTTGGTTGGTTGATACCGGTAGTGAACAGGACCTGATCAGTGAAGGCATGTTGAAGACTGCAAAGGCAACAAATCGCCGTGTGAGTGACACTCCAATCAGTCTTGCAACAGCCAACGGTTCGACACGTGCGGATGAGGTGGCCGACGTAAAGGTCGATGCCCTGCACCAGCCGTTCTCACCATACATTCTTGAGGAAACTCCTGCTGTTCTTTCGGTTGGGGTGAGGTGTATGGAACAGGGATACAGTTTTGTTTGGCCGGCTGATGGTAGGCCTTACTTCATTCGTCCGGATATGGGAGTCATTGAGCTGAATGTAGACGGCCGTGTGCCGGTTATTGATAGCTCTTGTCGTGTTTTAAACAGTGGACAGTTCAAGAAAGATTGTGATTTGTTGCGTCTTTTTGCAATGGTTGCTGCAAAAGCAGAAGGTGCCGATGAAGAAGGCGTGGATGAGGGAGTAGCTCATGATAGTGAAACCGAGTACATCAGGTCTAGAAAGGCATCCGACCTTGAGCAAGAGGCATGCAGCAAATCTCACCAATTTTGCCATTACCCCAAGAATCCATTTTGCAAGATCTGTCAGAAGGCGCGCATGATGGCGCCACCCGCAAAGAAAAAGGGGGGACAGAAAAGATTGGAAACCAAAAGTTTTGGGGATCACATTGTCGCGGACCACACTGTAATCAAATCCAATGTGGAAGAAGGCGTCAAAGGTGAGACAGTGGCATTGGTGATGAAGGACATCCACACTCAGTTCAGGCACGTCTATCCAAGTCAGACCAAATCAAGTGAGTCATGTGTCAACGCTTTCAATCACTTCTTATCTCACAAGGATGAAGTTGGGGCAGTTTACACTGACAATTCAAGAGAACTTATTGCTACAATTTCAGAGTTGGGGTACAGACATCAAACATCAACAGAGTATGTGGATAGTTCGAAGTCGTTTGTGGAGAGGGAGATCAGGCACATGCTTGAAGGCACACGCACAAACCTTGTGCAGTCCGGTCTTCCATTGCAGTATTGGCCAATGGCTATGCAGCATTTCTCCATGGCAGTGAATGCCACGCCACAGCTCAACGGTGATGATGCCCCATGGAAACTCTGATTCGAAGAAGATTTTCCAGGTCAGTTGATTCCTTTCGGTGCAAAGATACTGTTTTGGAACAATCCAAAAAGGGTTGACAACACATCTGGAAAAACATCACCAACTGCAAATGATGGAATCTTTTTGGGATACCATATTCAACCTGGTTTTGCATGGAAGGGTGAGTATCTTGTTGCCAAGTTAGAAGCATTGGACTACCATGCAGAAACGGGCAGCATCACAGTGCAGCGAGCACGACGTGTTGAGCTCATCGCGGGAGGTTTTGTCTTCCCACTCCGTGCATTGAAAGAGGCCAAAGAGCCCAAGCCGGACCGTCTTGCTGACAATGTCATTGCTGATCCTCGTCCGATTCCGTTTCAATCTGAACTGCAAA